ATTAACATTTTACCTATAATTTATAGGTAAAAATCATCAAAGGTGCAGATGGTAGTGGCTCACACCTTTAATCACAGCACTAGGGAGGCAAAGACAGTCAAATCTCTGTGAGTTCGAGACCAGCCTTGACTACAGAGTGGGTTCCAGGATAGGCCCCAAAGCTACAGAGAAATCCTGCCTCAAAAAACAAGAACAAAACAACAACCACAAAAAAAATTGTCAATAGCAAAAAGCATAGGGAACAAATTCCAGTAGAAAATTGGCTCAAAGTTTCCAGGTGTTCCCTCATGCTAGAGTCACATTAGTGCCCTCAACAATGATGTGTGCCAACGGGTATATTGTGCTGTCAATCAGGGAAGCAGACCCAAGCCGTATTGGGCAGGATCTTTATTGGGAGTCAATCCCAGAGACATGCAATGCCCTTGGCACAGCTCAACTACTCTGACTATCCTCCCTCCCAGAGGTCAAATGTAGTTGTGGCCACTTCCTCAAGCAGACAGAAAGTCAGAGTATTCCAGGACTCAGAAGCTACTTCCCAGGAAGCCAAAGAAAAGGTTTTCCTTAGAATGTGTACAATTTGAACAAACAGTCCTACTAAGCTAGCTTTTTTGTTTCTTTGTTGTTTTTGTTTTTAGAGACAGATTTCTCTGTGTAACAGCCTTGACTGCCCTAGAACTCAAGTTGTAAACCAGGCTGACCTCCAACTCACAAAGATCTGNAGCGAAACCCTGGGGGGGGGGGGGGAACGACACACATGACCACAAAGAGATATCTTGTTGAAAAAAACTCAAAAGCTCTAAATTAAATGTGAAATTATTGAAAGGACACTGACTTCATTTCCTAAATCCCAGTGAACAAATAATGCTAAAAGTCCAACCATGTCCCTAAAAGCTCATGTAGTAGAAATTTAATATCCAAATTTATATGGTGGTATTTGGAAGTACATGAAATGATGGGCTTCAGGACTCTACAATGGCATTAGTAGGCTTTTAAGACAAACACAGGAGACAAGTGTGGCGGTGCACACCTTTAATCCCCATGCTCAGGAGACAGAGACAGATCTACATAGCTCCAGGTCAGCCAGAACTGCATAATGAGACCCTGTCTCAAAAACCAAAAACAAAACAACAAAAAAGACAGGAATTGGGAGTTGTGATGGGTCTTTAATCCCAGTACTTGGGAGGCAAAGTCAGGTGAGTTCAAACTCTGTGAGTTTGAGGCCAGCCTGGTCTACAAAGAGAGTTCCAGGACAGTCAGGGCTGTTATAGAGAAACCCTGTCTCTAAAAATAAAAAAGACACAGGGCTCACGATAGCACACTGGCCTAGAATGTACAAGTTCCTAAGCTTGATATCTAACAACCCAGAACACAGATATTGGAATAAGTATCACAGCACGAGGCCTTTACCAAAGACCATCACCATGCTCAGACCTGTAAACCTCCAGCAATGTGAGCCAATTAAGTTTCCTTACAAATTACCCAGTCTGGGGCTGGAGAGATGGTTTGGCAGTTAAGAGTACTGACTGTTCTTTCAGATGACCGAGGTTCAATTTCCAGCACCCACATGGTAGTTCACAACCATGTGTTATCTATCCATGTGGTACACCAACATATATGCAGGTGAAATACACATAAGTAAATAAAAGTTACAACAACAAAAATTGCCCAGTATGTGATATCCCATTACAACAACAGAAAAGGAAAGGAAACAAACTCTATGCCCACCCCACAATGGCCAGGATTCTAACAGAGAGATCAAAAAGAAGAAAGGAGTCACGAGCCATTTCCCCCCTAAAAATCATTACAGGAACCATCACCCTGAGGAGTCTGCAGGGAACCCCACTCATTACAGGAACCATCACCCTGGGGAGTCTGCAGGGAACCCCACACCCAATTAACTGTTATCTGTTAGCGGAACCTGCCTCACATTCCAGCTATCCAGGGAACTAGGTGTGGCAACTCGTGACTTCTTGGCCTACGTGACCTGGACCACGAGACAAGAGTCCAGGCCCCTGTGCCCCCCCCCCCCATTCCTTACCCTATATAAACTGTAACCCGTCCCTAATAAATGGAGGCTGTGACAAACTAAGCATGGCCTTCTCCTTGTTTCCTAGCCCATTTCTCTTCCAGATAGTACCCCTCCGTGACCCTGGAATAACTGATTGCAAGGTGGGTTACAGAAAGGGGGCTGGACTATGCACTGTAACTAAGGAGATGCAGCTAGAAGACCCTGGCACTCAGAAAGACCTTTACTGTATAGTTCCCAGAAACACACTCTTTTCACCTACACAATGATACCTCAAACGAGGCAAGGACAGAGACTCCTGCCTGTGGAAATCCAGCCACCCAGCTTATATTGCCTCTCACCATGGCCCCCTGCTTCCATTTCTCCACCATTGCAAGGGTCACCGGTATAGGCTCATTCTTCTTCCTTTGCAGTTCTCTGGGGGATGTGTCACCGTCCTCTTCTCCATCCTCCTCATTCTCACTTGCTTCCTGTACCAGATACAAGAAGACAGATTTGGAGCAGGGTATAGAAGTCACAGGTGCCCCACCACCCAGGTCTGCCAGGTTTCACCTCCAGCATGTCTGGCAGGGAGTGGAATTGCTCCTCCTCCTCCTCAGAACTGTCGGAGTCATTGAAATCCAGTAGACTCTGGTCATTCTCCTGCAGGAACTTGTAGAACTCAGGGTCTCTGTCCTTCAGTCGAGAGAGCTGATCTTTGTGTTCAGAAGCACACCCCTTATGTGAGCTAAGAAAGTGGGTGTAAGGCCAGTGAAAAACCAAACAGAAGGAGTTTTTTGTCCTTCCACATAGCCAGCTTGCTTGCTGCCTCAATGAGACCACATTAGTATGTTCCCTTCACAGTAGATACCAATGACCAAGCAGGAGAATTTTCCTAAGATAAATCATCAGGTTCATCTGTCTTCCATACTAACACACACAGCACCTCTGACAGTGTTTCGACACAATCATTTCAAATTCAGCATAGAATCAGGGCTCTCCCAGACTAGCTGCGAACCCACCACGCTCACCCCATTGTTGTAAACTGTCATTAGCTCCCCTACAGTAACACCTCCAAACCTGTGTGCACTTCCGGGCAACCCACAACAACCCGAGATCCCCTTTTGTACTGTGACGAATTTCATTTCACTGATCAACCCTGAGACAGCTTCCCATTTTACTAAGAGATCTTACAGAATCAGGTCCCCTCGCTGTCACTCTGAGCGCATCGCTGGCTACTTCTGGGTCTGCTGTTCTGCCACAGCCACGCTCTAATTCCTCAAAGGCTGTCCATTTTAAGTTCTTTGCAGTTTAATATCAAGTTCCGTCCCCAACTCCTGCAAACACGTCCTGCTACATCCGGTTTTCCCTTCCACTCAGCACGTTTTCTCCAACACATGATAACCACTGGCTTATCCAGGACCAAGTGTTTTTCTTGGTTTAAAAAAAGCAAGCCTTCAACACTGTCGGTCAACGCACGTCGGTGTAGAGACGGCTGACCCACGGTTCTGCTAACAGTGCGGAACCAAAGATCGCCGTGGCGAGGCCGGGGTGGGGCAGGTTCTCACCTGGATGGGGTGCGTGTGTCCTGCTGCTCCCGGGTAGGGAGAGCTCTTCGCCTTTTCGTCTCCCGCGCCGCAACCTCCCTGACGTCCTCCGGCTCCGACTCGGACTCGGACTCAGACTCAAAGCCAGAAGCCAAGAACTCGTCTACCGTCAGCTCCTCCAGTCGCCTGCGGGTTATATCAGGTCATCACCTCTGCCAGCTTTCCAGCCTCACTTAGAAACAGAACGCTAGGAGCGAGCGCCTGCCGGGGTCCGGCAGCCCAGTTACTCAACTCACCTCTTGGGAGCGCGCGACGTAGCCATGTTGTTCAAAGCAGCGTGCGTCTCACTTCCGGGCCCAGAATGCCGCGCGCCGCCACACTTCCTCTCGCGAGCCCCGCCCGCCTTACCATGCTGGTGGTTTTAGGGTTCTCGTGTGGTGCTGCTGGCATCTCCAGGCGGGAGGCTGCCTTCGTCCTCTCGGCGCAGCAGGTGTGCTAAACTTCTGCACAAATCCACGGAGTGCAGGCTGACCGGCACTCACAGCTCAATTCCTTCCATAAAACGCAGTAACATTGGTTCCCACTCGGGAAACAAAAAGCTGGAAATTCGGACAGCCCTGCCTTCAGCTCACCTGTACTGTGTGTGCAGTGCAGTGCCTCTGACAGCAGGGCTTACAAATGGTGCTTAGAAATCAATAACAAAAGCTGTTGGTCCGGAGTCAGTGAGCTCACCCGAGCTATTGGGAGCTCACTGACTCCGGACCAACAGCTGAAGAACCTGCTTAGAACTGAAAATGTGGGTGACAGTCCTGCGCCTTGGGCAGTTTGTGGGGCTGCTGGCAGTGGGACCAGTATTTATCCCTAGTGCATGAACTGACTTTTTGGAGCCCGTTTCCTATGGAGGGATACTTTGCTCAGCCTACATACAGGAGGGAGGGCCTTGGTCCTGCCTCGATGAAATGTGACTGACTTTGTTGACTGCCCATGGGAGGCCTCACCCTCTCTGAAGAGTGGATGGGGGTGGGGGGAGCAGGAGGAGGGGAGAGGGGAGGAAATGAGATTATTATGTAAAAAGTTTAAAAATTATTTTAAAAAAAGAAGTGGCTCTAGTGAGATTAAAAACAAAAGGGGCATAAAAGTCAACACAGACACAGTCAGTTCATCAGAAATCAGAAGAGGGGCTGGAGAGATGGCTCAGCAATTAAGAGCCATGGCTACTTTTGCAGAGGACCCAGGTTCGATTTCCAGCACCCACGTGGTGGCTCACAACTACCTACAGCTCCAGTTTAAAGAAACCGGATGATGTCCTCTTCTGGCCTCCATGAATACTGTATAGGAATGATGTACTTAAAATCACAGTCTCTCCCTCCCACCCACCCCGCCTACACACACACACACACACACACACACACGAATAAATATTTGTTTTTTCTAGACAGGGTTTCTCTGTGTGGCCCAGCCCCCGCCTCCATTTTTTTTTTTTAACTTTAATCCAGGGGATGGCCGGGCAATGGTGGTGTGCGCCTTTAATCTCAGCACTCAGGAGGCAAAGGCAGGCGAATCTCTGAATTCGAGGCCAGCCTGGTCTACAGAGCAAGTTCTAGGACAGCCAGAGCTACACAAAGAGACCGTCTCGAATAAATAAACAAACAAATGAGGGGCTGGAGAGATGGCTCGGACTTAAGAGCACTGGACCGCTCTTTCAGAGGACCCAGATTCAGTTCCCAGCATCCACAGGGTGGTTCACAACTTTCTGTGACTCAGTACAAGATCTGATGCTCTCTTCTGGTCTCCGTAGGCATTGCACGCACATAGTTTATATAATATACAAACAATCAAAACACCCATACACATAAATTATTATTTTTTAAGTCAGAGGACACCTAATTTCTTGGCGAGCCTGAGTGTGATAAGAAAGAATGCTGTATCCATCTCGATGGATATAACACAACACCTAGCAGACCCTGGCAGACCCCGTTCATCTAACGCTCAAACATGTATGTGTAGGAACGCTGAAGCACGCTTGTGAAAGGGAAGCCTGACCTTAAGACTCGAGGGCTTGAATCCAGCGCGACAGCAATATCGAGCAAGTGAGTGCTGGGATACCGGAACTTGAAGCTAACCCAGGCGCCAGACGCCGGTTGGGAACTTCTTAGAGTGGGGCTCCTTAGTGGAGGGAGGTTGGCTGCGCAACGCTGACATCTACAGGGGGGTTGTGGGGGACAGGTCCTGCAACCTTGCTTGAAGCAGGGCGGGCGGCGCCGAGAAACAGGGGCTGCGGAGCCGGGCGGGCGCCAGAGTGGACGCTGCGGCCAAGGAGTCTTCCTGCGGTCCGAATCAGTCACACTGCGTTCAGTAGTCCGCCGCGGGCTTGGCTGCTGAAGTTATGCAGCCCCGTGGGGAGCGGCCTGCTGGCAGGACGCAGAGCCCAGAGCACAGCAGCCCGGGGCCCGGGCCTGAGGCGCCCCCGCCGCCCCAGCCGCCGGCGTGAGTGGGGTGGAAGGATGGAGGGAGGGATGGCGACCCGCAAGCAGAACTGCAGAATGGGGCAGAAGGGGCTGCCCCCAGGTCCGGGTGAGGTCAACCTGGTGAGTGGGACCCGGGGATTCACTTCCGAGGGACAGCGTTGGCCAACTACTCTTCCAGCGCCTACTGCGCTCACCATGAGTGCTGAGGACACGCTCCCTGGGAAATGCTGCTTCTCTGGGGAACTAGAAGAGGAGCATGGAGCCCTAGGAGAGGTAGTGAGCAGAGGAAGAGGGGCAAGCGCCAGCTGGGAGCAGGCTTATGTTTAGAAAAGTATCTGTTCTGGCTCTAGGGAGGTTCCTTGACAGGAGAGAGAACTTGAGCCCTGGAAGGTGTCAGTGAGTGACAGGATGGTCCTTGATGGACTACTGGTCCCTGGTGACTGGACTGCTGGGGATAGACTGCAGCTACCTTGGCTGTGCCCCAAGTTCTCAAGGGTGGGTGAGTGGCTCCTCACAGTGTTTAAACACTGACCTAGCCCTGCGGCCTGCAGCCCTGAGGCAGAGCGAGCTCGACCCAGGCAGGCCCGGCCTGCAGCCCCCATGGAAGGTGCGATGCAGCTCCTGAGCCGAGAGGGTCACAGTGTGGCACACAACTCGAAGCGGCACTACCATGACGCTTTTGTGGCTATGAGCCGCATGCGGCAGCGTGGCCTCTTGTGTGACATCGTCCTGCATGTGGCAGCCAAGGAGATCCGTGCTCATAAGGTGGTGTTGGCCTCCTGCAGCCCCTACTTCCACGCTATGTTCACAAGCAAGTACCACATACCTCAGTCTGGGCAGCCTTAGGGGGCTCTCTGCACATCTCCCAGGGCAGGCTGCCTGACCCACTGTCCTCACAGATGAAATGAGTGAGAGCCGCCAGACACATGTGACGCTGCATGACATTGACCCGCAGGCCTTAGACCAACTGGTGCAGTTTGCATACACAGCTGAGATCGTGGTGGGCGAGGGGAATGTACAGGTGAGGCATGCCATTCCCACACCCATATACTTCTGAGGTTTCCAGCCCTAGATCTGTGTAGCCTGGCCTCCCCATGCCTCTCCTCGATCTCCAGTTACTTTGTGCTCCTCTGGCCCCTCCTGCCTGACCCATCTTCGTGCCCCAGACTCTGCTCCCAGCTGCCAGCCTTCTACAGTTGAATGGTGTTCGAGATGCCTGCTGCAAGTTCCTCCTGAGCCAGCTTGACCCCTCCAACTGCTTGGGCATCCGAGGATTTGCAGACACGCATTCATGCAGTGACCTGCTCAAGGCAGCGCACAGGTACGTGCTGCAGCACTTCGTGGATGTGGCCAAGACTGAGGAGTTCATGCTGTTGCCACTGAAGCAGGTAACCACTGACGCAGGTAACATGCCAGTTTGGGCCCAGCCCATACCCTGCATTGCCCCAGCCCAGACCCTAGCAGCCAGTGTTCTGCAAGCCTTATTCTCAAGTTTCTGGTGGAAGTTTCACCCTATGATCCATTCCCTGCCCATCTCCCCACAACCCTCTCACCATCTTCTGACTCCACCCAATTATTTGCCTTAGATTCCTGTTTTTACCACACCCCAGGACCATGATTCCCCAGTCTCTTATTCTACGTACCTGAGTCTACTCAGGGCCTAGGACACCCCTCACCCCTCTACCCATCACCACCACTACTGTAACCAAAAATCTGCGAATCTTGATTCTGCTTGGTCCTCTGCTCTAAGAACATTAAGTGCATGTGTTGTGGGCGCACATGCGCATGCCCAACTGTCTGATACTCTCGGACACTTTCATGGTTTTCTGGGCCCTCCCCTACCCAGATGTCAGGTCTGAGGACCTTTCACCCCTAGGTCCTGGAATTGGTCTCTAGTGATAGCCTGAACGTGCCCTCAGAGGAAGATGTCTATCGTGCAGTCCTGAGCTGGGTCAAACATGATGTAGACACTCGGAGGCAGCATGTACCAAGGGTGAGGCCAGGTCCTGAAGCTCCCATGGTGTCTAGGAGGGAATGCAGGTGGCTAAGGTGTAATCATATTTCCTTCCATCTTCCATTCAGGGGCTCCTTTGGGGTGATAATAGGCACCTGTCTCATACTAATCATACAAGTGCTATAGGCACTTGAGTGGGTCTTAGCCCTGGGACAAGTATTCCCTAGGGTCTTGCCTTACCTGGCACCTCCTGCCCTAGCTGATGAAGTGTGTACGGCTGCCTCTGCTGAGCCGAGACTTCCTATTGGGCCACGTCGATGCTGAAAGCCTTGTGAGGCATCATCCTGACTGCAAGGATCTGCTCATTGAGGCTCTTAAGTTCCACCTGCTGCCTGAGCAGAGGGGTATTCTGGGTACTAGCCGCACAAGACCCCGTCGCTGTGAGGGTGCTGGTCCTGTGCTCTTTGCCGTTGGTATGCTGAACCCCTTCTCCTTCCCATTCTTGCCCTAGGTCATCTACCCCAACTCTGAACAAACAAAATCCATTACACTTATGACCTGTGCGTGTCAAAGACCCTATTTTATGGGGTGCACCAGTGTGACCCAGTCCCCCTCTCCTCCCACCCCTGGAGCCTTCATGGCTTTGCACTTGGGTTGCACTAGAGCCCCCCCTGCCCTGCCTTCCTGAGTCCCTTTTCTTACTCTGCCACCCACTTCCAGGTGGTGGGAGCCTGTTTGCCATCCATGGAGACTGCGAAGCGTATGACACTCGAACTGACCGCTGGCACGTGGTGGCCTCCATGTCCACACGGCGGGCCCGTGTAGGAGTCGCCGCTATTGGAAACCGACTGTATGCTGTGGGCGGGTAAGCACAGAGGCTGGACATGGGTCAAGGGTTTGTCACATGCCTGCCAGGCCATCCTTGATCAGTAGCGGGTTCTTCTCCTAGCTATGATGGAACCTCAGACCTGGCGACAGTGGAGTCCTATGACCCTGTGACAAACACATGGCAGCCCGAGGTGTCCATGGGCACAAGGCGAAGCTGCCTGGGTGTAGCTGCCCTGCATGGGCTTCTGTATGCAGCCGGCGGTTATGATGGGGCTTCCTGCCTCAACAGGTAGTAGTTTGGGTTAGGGCCCCAGTGGCCTTGAAGGGTTGGCTCAGCAGCAGCAGATGAGGCTGACTTCACTGAAGTCACATCTGACCAAGAGAGTGAGGTCCTGCCTAATCTAGACTACCTGGTCACCAAGGCCTCTTCACCTCAGACCATAGCATCAGTGGGGCCTTGGTACCATTCCGTTCCTTTGACTCTGTGTCCGTCCCTTCAAGTCCAAGCAGCCAGTAGCCTGTGCCCACCCAGCACACCTTGCTATCCGTTCATAGTCTGTGATGCCCCGCACAGGATTTCAACCACAGCCGGGGGGGGGGGGGGGGGATGGCAGGGGGACAGGTCCTGGGAAAGGGTCACTTTGCTGTGGTTGAACATAGCATCATTCTGGTGCCCACAGTGCTGAACGGTATGACCCACTGACGGGAACGTGGACATCCATTGCTGCCATGAGCACCCGGAGACGATATGTGCGTGTGGCCACACTTGGTGGGTGACAGGACCTGCTTCCTGTGGTTCCCACTTTCCTGCCTACCCCTTCCCACTCACCCCCAAAGCCCCTACACCTGCAGGAGCTCAGTGGGTCTATTGCCTTCCCACAGATGGGAACCTGTACGCCGTGGGTGGTTATGACAGCTCATCACACCTGGCCACCGTGGAGAAGTACGAGCCCCAGGTGCATAACGCACCCCTATCCCAGTTTCCTCCTCTCAAATGTTGGGTGGTGAGGAGCATAATCCCATCTTCTGGTCACCTGTACCATCCAAGGTTCTACTTTCTGTACCCTACCCCTGACCCTCAGATACCCAGCCAAGGGTAGAGTCTGTGTTGTGGCAGGGGTGGGTGCTTTGTTGGGTCTGCCTCCAGCCTGTCCCTTTGTCTCTACAGGTGAATTCATGGACACCTGTGGCCTCCATGCTGAGCCGCCGCAGCTCTGCAGGAGTGGCAGTGCTGGAGGGTGCCCTATATGTGGCAGGGGGCAACGATGGCACAAGCTGCCTCAACTCAGTGGAGAGATATAGCACCAAGGCTGGTGCCTGGGAGAGTGTGGCACCCATGAATATCCGCAGGTGTATAAGGCCAGGGGTGGGTGGTGAGTGGTTCTGCCACTACATCTGGTTTATTCCAGGAGCCTTGCTCCAAGGGTGGTGTACACAGCACCTCAGCAGTGCAGCAGGTCCATGGGTTCCTCCTGGGCACCTGGGGCTCCTTTCCTAGCCCTGTCCCCGTGGTTCCTCCATTTGCACCCCACTCATTTGGCTTGTCTCTCACGACCTGCCCCTTGGGCTTACTCTTGCCTACCCAACCCCCAGGAGCACACATGACCTGGTGGCCATGGACGGATGGCTCTACGCTGTAGGGGGCAATGATGGCAGCTCCAGCCTCAACTCCATAGAGAAGTACAACCCAAGGACCAACAAGTGGGTGGCGGCATCCTGCATGTTCACAAGACGCAGCAGTGTGGGTGTGGCAGTGCTGGAGCTGCTCAACTTCCCACCGCCGTCCTCACCCACGCTGTCTGTGTCCTCCACCAGCCTCTGACACACGTCAGACTGCGCAGAGGTCCTGCAGCATCCCACATGCCTTAAACCCTATGGGGTGGCCCTTCCACCTCTGTCTCCTCCACCAAGTGTTAGGGCAGATCACATACCCCACCAGGGATTTCCTGTTTCTCCTGTCTTGGTTTCTGTATTCACCGTCATTGTTCATTTATTTGTGTGTGCTGTTTGTTTACTCACTAATTTATTGGTTCCCTATTTATTGATGGATGAGAAGTGCTGCAGCTACCAGTTCACACATTTACTCTCACGTGTCAGCTCTCCTGCATGTGGGGACCAAGAAGCCCTTTGGAGTCCTCTTTCCTGGCTCCCTTCCTGGAGCAGCAGGGAACGCTGGGGGAGGACGAACAGCACAGCTGGGCTTACAAACAGTAGGGGGCAGAGCAGCTGTCCCAACAGGAGAAGAGGCCAGGGCTTTCTAAGAAGATGCAGCCCCTGGCCAACGCTTTGCACATAGCACTTATCTGTCTCTACCAGGCACTGTTCCTGAAGGGCACAAAGCAGACATCGTCCCCGTGTCTTGTGTATACAGTGTGATGTCTTTTCTGGATCTTCTGTGGAACTGGGCACACAACATGCACTTAGATCCCACACAGCAATATGAGCCAACTTGAACAATAAACATGTTTTTGGGGGCTCCATGGGCCTGAGACTGAATGTCCATCTCTGGCCCCTTTTGTATCCTCTGCTTGCTGGCCCGCAACACACCTTTGGCTTTTGTCTGGACAGCAAGGCAAAGGTCTATAGGCAAGTGTGCGCCAGACTCAGAAGCTACATTAATGTCTGGGGCTGCACAATGGCACTTTTTCATCCAAATGGAGCAGAGATAGAGTCGATAGAGACAGTCTGTTTACCCTAGTTCTGAGGCTCCTATGCCCTAGGGCTATGGGGTGCACGAGAAAGATGGACCCCTTACTTTGTCATATCTGTCTTGAGAACCTGGGAGGCATGTGGCCCCTTTCCTGCATTTGGTTAAGCTTTAGGAACCCTGACTTGGGTCTGGGTGGGGGTTGGCCCAGGCAGGAGAGAAGCTGGGGGAGGGGTTCTGGCCTCCCTTTATATGGAGTAGCTGAAAGTGAGCACACTCCCCCTACAGTCACCAGTGACTCAGACCAGCTGGGATTCATGTGGAAACAGGATGTATATGCCCTGGGAGGGGCGGGGCAACTGGGAGGAAGGATCCCTGTGCTCACAGAACTCCATCATCCAGGCACTTACAGTCTGAACACAGGTAGACGGTGTGTATACAGACCAGGCCCTCCTAGCCAGGCCTACACAGACTGTTGAGGTTAGGGTCCTAGTCCAGTCAGGAAATGACTGCCCCACACCAATCTGCCTACCTAGGGCCTAGAAAGCCTGGGCCCTCACTGGAAGGTTTCCTTCAGAAAGGTCCCAACCCGGTCCCAGAGAGAAGACTCCTCCTGCCCCAGGGTAGGGGCAAGACGTCTTATAGTCACGCCCACTGGCGGGAGGTGTTAGCAGACAGGACCGAGGACTCACTCAGACCTGTCGACCTGCGCAGCCCAAGCTAGCAGCTGCCATCCATGGGGAACAGCCACTGCGTCCCTCAGACTCCCAGGAGGCTACGAGCCTCATTCTCCAGAAAGCCCTCGCTCAAGGGAAACAGGTGAGAGGTGTGGCCTGGCCTCAAGGGAACAGGGTCTCCCTGGACCTGCTACCTGTGCCAAGCCTTGAGCCTCCGGTTTCCCTTGTTCCCAGAGAGGACAGCTCCAGGAAGCTGGCCGGCCTGTTTGGCACCGAGGCTAGGCCCGATGGGGACACCGCGGCTAACAAGATCTTCCACTACTTCCCTGGGACGGTGAGCGGAGGGGCGTGTCTGGCAGGAGCGGTATGGCACTGGGCCTGAAGTCTGAGTACAATTTTGTGCTTCTCCTGTATGAGTGTGTGTGCCGCAGTGTGAGTGATAATGTGGGAATCGCATCTTCCAGCAACTCAGGGTCCTCCCTGGCCAATTTGAAGGGATTCAGATACAAAACAAGATGAGGAAGTTGACACTGCCCCTCCCTGGGAAGCTCACTCAAAAGTCTAGGCTGAGAGTGAAACCAAGATGGGCACTGAGTCAGTGGTGAGCAGGCAGAGCCTGCCGGGGCTGTTGTACATCCAGGGGCACAGGGGCCACCCTCAACCTTCCCTACCCCAACCTACCTGGGTCTTGGTGGGCCCAACAATTGTGTGGGGGCTCCTGGTAAATATCATACTTCAGGCCTCAGTTCTCAAGGGTTACCCACCCCTAGCTGTTTCTGGTTATCTGCAGCCTACAGCTACCACATTGCCATATAGGCAGGCACCCATCCCCATACAGCAGTGAACCAGCTACCGATAGACCTCTTCATGAGACATCAGAGGCCTAACCATTCTGTGGGTCTGCTTAGAAAAGATACCTTTCCCTCCCCTTTTCCCAACTCTCTGGCAATACTTGGGAGGAGCCTGGGCTGCAGGTTTGACAGGAACACCTCCTACTGTGCTGGTCTTGGAGAACCACACCCACCCCAGTGAGCCAGGCTCTATGTGCAGTCTCTACCAGGGCTGGAGCAAGTCTCCCATCCTGTATTCTCAGGTGCTGCAATTGATGTAAACTCCCAAAGCATACCTTTCTCACGGGCTCCCAGGAAGCTAGAAAAATTGTATCACAGCCCCTCCTGGTCCCTGAGGTTCCAGAGCTCTCTGCGAGCAGGTGTCACCTTTAGAAACCTTGCTGCCTCAAAGAGGTAGAGAGGAAGATGGAGCCTGAAGTGACCAAGGGTGGCATCCCTCCCTATGGCCACATCGAAGACCCTGACTCCCTCTAGTCAGACCCTCTTGGACAGAATTCTGGCATGGGTAGTTGACCCTAGCCAGGACACAATAGCTGGAAAAGAGGTGGTATAAGGGGAAGAAGTCCTGGCCAGGCATGGAACTACTATTGTACACTGTACCTAGGCTATGGACTCTAGGTAGATTCTGCATCTGAGTTAGAGCTGGCCCTGTCACAGCACCAAGCTAAGCCCTCCTGGGGGCAGAATTCCAAGGCACCAGGGCCAGCTTCATAACCCTTCCTGTTCATGGCCTATTTCTCAGTGGTTTCCACAGTGGGTGTAGATGCAGGAGGCTCCACCCAGAGTCAGGGAGGATGGAAGCTGTTTGTGTCTGTTCACATTCCTAGGCCAGCACTGGAGGTAGTTCAGCTTGGCCAGTCTGAAGCAGCCCGTGCAGGTGATCCTGGGCAGCTCCCAAAGGCAACATAAGCCCTCTCCTAAGCCTCTCTCCTGCCTCCCAGCACATCCCAGGGCATCTCCTCGGCTTTGTGGAATTAGCAGTAAACAAAATACAACGCTACTCCTGTCCTCACCTTTTTCCATTCCATTGTCAAAGTCAAACAAGAGAAGATAGAGTAAGCCAGACTAAGTCAGGTGATAGTGGCACGTGCCTTTAATCCAGCACTTGGGAGTTCAAGGCCAGCCTGATCTACAAAGTGAGTTCCAAGACAGGATCCAAAGCTATGCAGAGAAACCCTGTCTCGAAAAACAAACCAAAAAAGAAAGAAAGAGAGAGGGAGGGAGGGAGGGAGGGAGGGAGGGAGGGAAGGAGGGAAGGAAGGAAGGAAGGAAGGAAGGAAGGAAGGAAGGAAGGAAGGAAGGAAGGAAGGAAGGAAGGAAGGAAGGAAAAAAAAAATAAGCCAGACTAAATCAGTATTAAATGAAAAACCCAAGGCTGAAATTTTAGGGCATTGAGAAAGAAGGTAAAACCTGAGCAAAGCCCTGCTGAAGGGGGTGGAATGAGGATTTAAGGTTGAGTAGTCACCGTAGAGAATTACACATGCAAAGGTGAGACACATATCTGCCTTATGTAATAGAAAAATGAAGGAAAGGACTGGTCCCCAAATTCAGTCCTCAGACCATTGTCAATGCTTTGCCCTCTACTGTGAGATAGGTACTGTGTACATAGTAAGCTTGGGCATCAGCAAAGACTCACAAAAGCTGGCTAGTATCTCTTTCCAGTTCCAAGTTTACAGACATCATGTTGACAACTCAACTTGTGCAGTATTGGGAATATTTACAGCAAAGAAACTAGCAAATACTACAAGCTAGAACTCTTGTTTGTTTGTTTTCATAGAACCAGGTAAAATAAAACATGGCCAGTTGTCAGTGGACATTTGAGAAGGCTTTAAGCATTATCTCATCCTCATAATATACCTCAAACTCTTTGACAAATCCAGGGGTGTTGAATGACCAAAGTCAAGTTGCATAGCATAGGAGGTAACGAAGATAAGGATTGAACCCACTATGTACCAACCTCAGTCTGTACCACAGAGCAGATAGCTCTGACTGTGGGGAGTCATATGTATACGTGTGGTGTGTACAAATTCCACTTTTCATGTGAAGAGGCTTAGGTGTGTATGGGGTATGCATGTATGTGAATGTTCTTGATGAATGTATTCTGTGACCATGCATGGACAGATCAGAACTGTATGCAGCAGCCATGTGTATATTGCCTGGGGATCTGGCCCCATCTGGTCCCTCTCCTAAGCCCTGCTCCTCTAGGACATCCCGGGCCTGGAAAATCAGCCAGAAAATCTGGAACAGCCATTCCTGAGTGTTTTCAAAAAGGGGTGGCGGAGGACACCCGTGAGGAACCTAGGCAAAGTTGTGCACTATTCCAAGGTTCAGCTGCGGTTCCAGCACAGCCAGGTAGGAGCCACAGCAGTTTGGGGAATGCTTGGGGAGCAACTTCCATACTACCCCAGGGCTATCCCCCCACCCTCTGAGACGAGTGGCCCCATTCTCCCCTAGGACATCAGTGACTGCTATCTAGAGCTGTTCCCCTCCCACCTGTACTTCCAAGCCCATGGTTCTGAAGGACTTACATTCCAGGTGAGTGGTATAGACAGAGGGAGGTGCTGGCTCTGTTCTTAGGAGTCCCTGCAGTCCCTCCTATACTGTCCTCTGGCAGGGGCTGCTCCCACTGACAGAACTGAGCATCTGCAGAATTGATGGGTCCAGAGAGCATGCCTTCCAGATTACAGGTGTGTGGAGAGTGCTGGCCTGGCCCCCACTGGACCAGGACCCCTGGACCTGGGAGGAGACTTTCCTGGGGCTTCTGGGAGCTCTAAGCTTTGCCCCTAGCCCACTTGACTCTTCTGCCCCCAGGCCCACTGCCTGCCCCGCTCCTTGTCCTCTGCCACAGTGAAGCTGAGCTCAGCCACTGGCTTTACCATCTGGAAAAGCAAATGGCTCTCTTGGGGGGCCTGCAACGCTGCCACTCAAGCCCCCCACAGGTTAGTAGCAGGAAACTGTAAGCCCTTCCCCAGTTCAGACCCTCTGGCCTGCCTGTGACTTACTCCTTCCTCCTCCCCAGAGTTCCCTAGGGGATGAACTCCCCTGGACACGGCTATGGAGAGTATCCGGGTGTGAATCCATGGGCAGCGCGATCTGTGCCTCAAGGGTCAAGCTGCAGCATCTACCCTCTCAGGTGGGTGGGAAAAGACATGAGGTGCAATGAGAGGGAAGGATACAGGAGCAGAGAAGGCTGGACTCTAGGTGTCCAACCCCACTCTATCCTTTGACCCTTTACAGGAGCAGTGGGACCGGATTCTGGTACTATACCCAGCATCCCTGGCCATCTTCTCTGAGGACCCAGATGGACTTACCTTTAAGGTTGGCACTCTCCATATATACCTGTCCCGAAAGGTGCCCTTTGTGGGGTGGGAGTGAAGACTCAGAAACCTGTATTTCAGGGCTTGTTGGGACAGAGCACAGTGCTCCACCCATCTGGCCCCACTGCCCTGGTCAATCTGGTCTCTACTCTGGCACAGAAGAGGAGTCTCCACCCTCTACAGCCCTTCTCATCCTGGAGAGATATCACTAACCCTGGAGTGGGTGGAATGGAACATGCTACTTCTTGGAATCCATGGTGCATGCTTCCCCTTGTCTCTGAGCACCTTCTGTGCATTGTGCGGTGTGTGTGTGTGTGTGTGTGTGTGTGTGTGTGTGTGTGTGTGTACGCACGCGCGCACACACACAGGGGGTGGGGACCAAATCATGACTGGTGTGTATTCACAGTCACTTAAAAACACACCAAGGGGACTTCCCTGACAGGGACTCACAGCTGACACAGGCTGGTGAAGAACCAACAGGAAGAAAAGTGGAGATGTCCCAGAACAAACAAAGCTGCCTAGCCTTTCTCAGAGTGGCATCCTCAGTGTTAGGTGGCCTGAGTTTCCAGCCCAACTCTAGAGGGCAGGATGGAAGGATAGGGCCAGGAAGAGGCTGAGATGACACAGATAAATACCCGGTCCTCACGCTACAGGGGGAGCTTCCGCTAAGTGCAATCCACATCAACCTAGAAGAGAAGGAAAAGGAGATCCGCTCCTTTCTCATCGAAGGTAGGGGCCTACCCAGAATCTTACCCACCGCTGGGTCTCTGTGGGGTAAGGTCCTGCCAGACCTTAGCTCACATGTCTGTGTGCTAGGCCGCCTCATCAACACCATCCGTGTGGTGTGTGCCAGTTACGAGGATTACAGTCAATGGCTGCTGTGCCTCCGGACTGTCTCGCACAGGGATGGGGCCCACCTGCTGCCTGGCCCAGAGAATTTCCCAGGACTACATGGACCCACAAAGGTGAGGGGTCAGTGAGAGGGAGGAGAAGGGTAGGTCCAAGATAAGGAGACAGATCCAGCCACTCATCTTACCTCTGCTGCTTAGGCCATGAGTAGAGGCCGAGGTTCACTCTCTTCCAATGGACGGACCAGCTGGAAATTAGAGTGTCCAGTGCTCCCCACCAGCCAGTCCCTCCCTGAATCCTCAGTGCCAACCACTATAGGCTTCCCTGCCCAGCCTGTACCTGTAAGTACCTAAAGGAATGACATGGGATGGGGTTAAGAAAACACAGGCCCCACTGTCCCTCAGTGACCCTGGACCATAGTTTGGCAGGGAGGGCACTTGAACTGGAGGGACCTTCATACAGCTCATAGAAGAGTGTGTGGGAAAGAAGCCCTGGAGATCTTTCTGGATGGTTCTTGGTATCCACAGAACCAGACCAACTCTAACTGTGTCAGCACTGGTCGAAAGAAGACAGAGCTGAGGCACAGTGGCAGTAGCCAGTCTCCCAGGGGCAAAGTTCGAAGGGAAGTATCTGGCTCAGCTGTCCCACTGCCCCTGCACCTGGACCTAACCAAGGTGAGCCCACCACGTACCCTGAACCCAGGCCACTATCCCTTCTGCTTCTTCTTCCTTGCTTGTCCAGATGGAACACACAGAGACCTCGTGTTCTGAAGACAGAAGTTCTTGCTGCATCTAACTGAGGGAACCCATGTATCTCCTTCTTGTAGGTGGGTGAGCTGGACTTAGACAGCAGCTCAGAGGCTCAGGACCACTCTTCAGATATTCCACACTCCCCGCTCTATGCTGATCCCTACACACCACCAGCTACATCTCACCGCAAGATTACGGACCTCCAAGGCTTAGATGAGGTCAGTGCCCTACTAGGTGGATATGCTACAGTGAGATCAGGAGATGTCAGAAGCCTGAAATCTGTGAATGGGGAGTGTTTCTGGGCAAGGGATCCCTAGGCTTCACAGTGGTCCCAGACCAGGGCTTCAGGAAACCCACATTTTCCCAGCAGTTCTTCTGTGCGATGCAGACATCTCCTGGACCTGAGCTATCAAGCCCGTTCCCCTCAGTCTCCGTGTCTGTGCCTGTCTCTGACTCCAGCTCTGGAATCTCCAGCTCTCCTAGGCCTCTGGGCTCCCATTTGCTCTCCAAGAAAGGTGCCCTGCAACCCAAAGCTTCCCAGAAACACCGGGGTTCCATCAAGAACAGAGGGCCACGGCCTTCAGACCTCCCTCAGCTTGTAAGTCACATCCTCCACTCTGGTGTGGGGGCCTCAGGATCAGGGGATGTTGGATAGAGGGTTCTAGGACTCCAAGGAGAAAAGCAAAATATGGGACAGGGAGAAACCAGAGACAGAGACGGTGAGGTAGGACAGGAAGCTAGAAAGTAAGAGAAGAAAGTGGCAAGAGTCTGGCCGATCAAAGAGGATGATCTGTGCTGGCTTTAAGACTTGTGTTTTGGGGCTCCCAGGTCACCCCTGCCAGAGAAAGTACACCTAGTTCCCTGCCACCTCCCCCAGGTGAGTGAAGGTCTTCTCTCCTTAGGGAAGGGGTGCTACTTCCTAAAGGCGGATCCCTGACTTGTCTCTGACATCCCTACTAGATGAAGAGGCTCCCATCTGGAACAAGACTTCCTCTCCCTCCCCCCAGAAGTGGCCACAACTCAGGAAGACTCCGGTGGAGATGGGACTCATCCAGTGGATATAATGAGCCCCAGGTGGGCTGCTTCTTGGAAACATAACCAGCCAACGCCAACCTGGACAAGGGTATGCAGCCATACCAGTCCTGTGACCTACATTAGATCCACCAGGGCCTCACCCCAGCAGGATAAGAGAGTCTCTAGAACGCTGATGATAGAAGCACCTCTCACCAGGCTCTAACTCATCAGCTTTAGCAGCTAGAGCAACCAAGAGAACAAACCGGTGAGGGACATCAGTGAGATCCTGGATACCCCAGGGCTTATATCTTTAGGGAAGAAAGAATGAAAGTACTAGAGTAGGTCTTATAACTGGGGAACTGCATGAGTGTGAAACACAGAGCACCAGAAATGTCAGGTGAGGACACGAGGGTCAGAGTTCAGGAGGGTGAGAGGCATCACAAGGAGCAGGAGTATCAGAAGACCTAGTACTGCTGGGTGCGTAGGGTAAGGCTGGTCAGAAAGATTAACACCATAAACAAGAAAAAGACTTTATTGGTTCTGTGTCCCTGCGTTTCACTCCGAGCAGCCAGAGTACCCCACCATCCTAAAGACCTTCGTGTGTTCTTCACTGTACCACCCCAGTCCCTTCACCTACACCCCCACTCTACAACTTCTCTCAGCCTTGGCATCATTCAAGCTCCCTGTAGTATCAGAAGACAATCCTTCCATAGGATACTATTCCTATCCAGGGCTCTTGGAGAAGATCCAGCCCTGCCCCACAGATCCCATATTGCAAGGGTCTCAGAAACCATCCCCAGAGGTATCCCTTAGAACAGTGGTTCTCCACCTGTGAGTTGCAACCCCCTTGGGAACCCTCTAGCTCCAAAAATATTTACATTGCGATTCATAACAGTAGCAAAATTACAGGCATGAAGTCACAACAAAAATAATTTTATGGTTGGGGGTCACCACAGCGTGAGGAGCTGTATTAAAGGGTCACAGCATTAGAAAAGTTAAAAACCACTGTCCTAGAACCTAGTCATTGACTCAGGCCAGGCCTAGGCAAGCTGTGGCTGCGGTGCCTCAGGGATCAGGGCCTTGGAGGACCTTGCCAGCCAAGCCTGCCTTCAATAGGGCAGAGTTCTTGGACTGCTTCCCTCTAGCTTTGAAAGCACTTAGTAGCCTCTTGGCCCAGACCCAGAGGGGCCTTTCTGATTTTACACTTATTGTAGAGTCCCCTTCTGCTGCCCATCCCTTATCTATGACTAGACAAAAGATAGGATGCCCAATTAAGTTGGATTTCAGATAACAACAAATAATTTCTTCATACAAGTACACCTCAAGAACTTCATGTAAATTCAAATATAGCTATATGTGCCCTGTGGTTTTTACTTGCATATCTGGTGCCCTATTACCCAGATCCTGGCTCAGCCCACAGTTCTGAACCTCTACCCTCTCGGGTTTGGAAAATGGCCTTGGCCTTAGCCACTGGCTGGACCCTCAGGTTGAGTCCAAGTCAGTTAGCACCAAGGACACTGGCTCCTTCCTAGATGCCAAAGAAGACAGAGTTCAAAGGTGGGGAGAAGAGCAACATCTTGTCCTTGTCACCTGGGTTCATCCCAGTGTCGCACACCTCACCAGGCCAGCCTGGCTCCTAGCAGCTTGGGCTTGAGTTGGAACTGGGTCTTGGTCTGCCATTACGCCCTCTCCCAACCTGGCGGCGGAAGTAGCGGATAGCAGAGATGGTGCCAATGTTGGCCAGCAAGACTGTAAGAGAGACACAAGATATCCTGAGTGCCAGCTCTGGCTTCTCGCTACCTTCTGCCTACATAACCTAGCCTTCAAAGGACAGTATGTTGGAAGTAGGTTAGCAATGACAAAAGCAAGGTCAAAGAGAGCCTGAACCTTCCAAGTACCCTTATCCCTGCTGGCCCAGCAGATGTGGAAAAAAAAAAAAAAAAAAAAAAAAAAAAAAAAAAAAAAAAAAAAAAAAAAAAAAAAAAAAAAAAAAAAAAAACTATAGCCCCTAGGTCTTCTAGACATCATACCCCCTGCCCCGAGAACCTCCAAACCTGTTTTCCAAGCATCTGGAGCATGTAGATCAGAGGTTCTCACAGCCCAAGTGGCAAAGGCAACAAACACTAGGCACATGTCATTCTGGCTGAATGTAAAGGAAGTAAGGGGATTCCGTAGCTCCCCTAGGAAAGAAAAGGACATTAGATGCTCCTCTCCGAGATATGTGTGACATAAAATACCATCTGTCCTAGAGAAATGCATTGAGTCAGATCTTCCACATGACTTCTTTAAGGCACTGGATACTATGTATCATAGTTGAGTCAGAACAATTTGGGTGCTTTGCCTTTAGGGTCTTCTGTTTTCTGGTTTGTGAAATAGTTTACAGAGGGGAGAGGAGATATTTTTCCACAGTGCCTAATACAGCCTGGCCTGAGTGGGAATGTGCCCCTATTACCTGCGCCCATAGGAGCTGGAGGAAGGTTCCTGACGGCACCTAGGACTGGAGTGTCAAAGCCAAGCTGTCCCATCTGGACTGTGTCCTGGGGTAGCTTAGGAACTTAACCTTCCTCATGCAGATCCCAGAGCATGCAAGAGCATACATACAAACACATCCACACAGACAGGTGATCAGGATCATTCCTGCTTCTCTCCCATAGCCTCTTGGCCTAATTCCCTGGACAGTATGTTTCCAGGACCTGGATCAACACCTACCTGCTTCTCTGATTGCCAAGCTAAAATGTTCTTCCGTAGCTGGAACAGGCATGGAATATGCCTCAGGCTCTACTTCCCTGAAGAGCTCTGAGGTCTGCACTTGGACACGGGTGGCCGGTGCCTGACTGTTCCCAAATCCTTCCTCTGTAAAGAAGTGTTCATAGACCTCAGGAATGGAGATAGGCACTAAATCTCCAGGGGGAGCAGGTGCCACAGCCTCTGCCCTTGGGGGTGGGACTGGGGAGCGTCCCCTCTGACGACTTGACCTTTGGGTTCTGCTGTCCTGAAAAAAGAACTCGCATGAGTCAGGCCACTGGACGTCATCCAGGGCTTGGCTGGCTGCTGTCTCATTCTCTACATCTTCATCTTCCTCTTCAATGGTATCACAGAAGAAGAACTCATAGGCCTCAGGGAGAGTCACTGCATAGCATCTTCCAGGCTCAGGTTCTGCTGAGACAGAGGATGGAGGAGGAGGCAGGTGCTTGAGGATCCGAGGTTGGGGGAGTCGGGGCCCAACAGCCACAGCATCCCAGGCTGCAGACCCCCCACGGCTCCCTGCTGCTGTCCTAGGAGCTGAGGGCCAGTCTGGGGTTAAGAAGGGTGGGCCTGTAGGCTCAACTGATCCTGATTCTTCGTGGGTAGGTGCAGCCATGGAGAATCGTACTTTCTTCTTCTTGGGGGCTTGGGCAGGACCTAGACGAGGCTCCCCTGAGGAATATTCTGAGGACCCTGCTGAGAGCTGCCCTACTGGCTTCTCAAAGTATCCTCCAGGAGACACAGTCACATCTGTATCCACCATGGCAGCTTCAGCCTGGGAAACAGAGGATAAGGAAGGCGTAGCAGGGATAGACACACTCTCTTCAGACTCAGTCTTTGAAACAGAATGAGGCATATCTGTACAGACTGCTGGGGCAGGCACAGAGGGATAAACTTCTGCCTTGATCTCTGAGCCTTCTGTGGATAGGTCCTCATGCAGTCCAGGTATGCAAGCAGGGGCAGACTCAGTTTTGTCCGGTTGAAAGATGGAGACAGGGGTGCACAGAGCCATGTCAGGGGCAGAGGCAGGTGTAGACTGTTTTGTATTAGGTTGACATTTGGAGGCAAGTGTGGACAAAGTCATGTCAGGTGTGGAGACAGGTGTAGACAAAACTATGTCAGATTGAGGCTTGGAGGCAGGTTTAGACAAAGCCGTGCAGGGTTGAGGCTTACAGGCATGTGTAGAGAGAGACGCATTTGGTGTGGCGATGGAGACATCTGGCTGAGGTTTGGATGTCATGTGTAGCTCAGCGCTGGGTGTCTTTCTGGTCTGGTCTGTATCTTGTTCAGTTATTAGAACAGGTGTAGATGGATCCAAGCCTGACTCTTGTCTGGCCATCTGTTCAGGGATGCTAGAGCCAAGTTCAGAAGCACCTGCAGGGTCTGACCGTGGCTTATCCTGCTGGTCTTTTGCCATTAGTGTCCCAGACACAAGATCTTCCTTGGGCCTGGTCTCCGTAAGTTGTGGGGAGCTCATCTGAGCAGCAGGAGAGCCCAGAGATCCAGAGCACTTGACCCCCTTGGCACCCACGGCACGCCTCTTCTTACGACCAGGGTTCCGCAATGGAGCTTCAGGGTTGTCTGTGGGACTCTGAGGGATGGCACTGTGGCCAGCGGACTCAGGACTGTGAGAGGGCTCACCAGGAGATCTGGGAGCAGGGCCCTGCAAAAGCCTCTGCATCTTGTCCCTGGAAATTGTTGACCCAGGGAAGGACGAGGCCTGGCCAGGACAGACGCTGTCCGAGCTGAGGAACAGTAGAGCTTCTGACTGTGTGGACGTGCTGGCTACCTGATGACTGGCTTCTAGAGCCAGGACAGGCTCACACTGAGACCTGCTGACCAGCTGCTGAGTAGCCACGTCCTCCAGTTCACAGCCCTGCTGTCCCCTCCCCTGGGGAGCCAGCTGCCCAGTGAAGAGGGGTGGGGGACCAGGGGGGCTGCTTCCGCTGCTGTCCCCTTGGTCAATGTCACTGGACAAGAGCTCGTCACCAGAGGCCAGGCCAGCCTGCAAGAGGCCACACTCATCAGCAGTGGCAGAAAACTCAGCCCACTCTCGATCACTGAGCTGGACACTATACTGGAAGTTGTCCATTGCACATCAGCAGAGGTGCTGGAGTGACAGCAAGACTGTAGGCCAGGCAGGGTCTTCACAAATCCAGGCTCCATGCACTAAGTAGTACACACTGCTACCACCTTGCCTGACCTCGTAGGACCTGCCCCCGCCCTGGTAGTCCATTTCCGTCTGGAGGAACCACAAGACAGACTCCGCTTCTTCCAGATTCTTCTAATTCATTCTTTGAGTTAGAAATCTACTTCAGTTTCCCCTATTTTCAATTCAACTCCAAATAACTTTACCATGACACATTGTCACAGTCCTAAAATGAAATGTTATTTTATTATATGTTATTATATTATATATTTAAGATATATTAGTGAAATAAACTAAAGACCAATGTTAGTCGTGTTTGAATAGTGTTCCCCCACATCTCTGAGATCTTCCAATGGGATTGATTTCCCTTCTCAACTCTGTCACAGAGGTCTGCATCAAAGACCATCCATCAGAGATCAATTCCCTCTGAGGGTCATTTCTGGCCTCCCCAGCCACCACTATTGGCAGCTAACCACAGAAGAGGATCTATAGTATCTGTAAGTGACTAGCCTTCTGGATGATGACCTTCCACCAGCCTTGGCTGGAACAGGATTTCTGAGCCTACCAAGGTCATGTTGGTACTGGTCAGAACCTGCTCAAAAGTTTGTAAGAGGAGCCTAGGCCAGAGGTCACACAACTTAAGTGAGCCCCCTGAGCCCCAGCAATCTGCTCTGGCAGTCCTCAGGGTCTGTACTCCCATCTAGTCCTGCCTGACTATCCAAAGCCCCATTTTGCCATATTTCAGTTAACCAAGAGAACCAGAGCCAGCCAAGGCCTCCAGCCTCTGTCCCATAAACGGGCTACTCTTGGGGCCTTGGTCAGCGATATCTAGAATGAGGAGAGTGGGACAATTCCTGGACTATGACTGGAACAATCCTAAGTGAGAAAAAACACTGGGGACTTCCTAACAACCAGCCCTTCTCCCCTCTTGAGTCCCTGGAGAGGCCATGGCAAAGCTTTTCCTGCCACTAGGACCCCTAGACAGAACCAAAGCGCTAAGTGTATCCTACCTGATTCTCAGCAGCCAGCTGGGGCAGTGGAAGTATGCATCTAGAGGCCTGTCCCCAGGCAGCATGGTGCTAGGCTTCTTAATGCAAGCTCCGCCCCTTCCGCTAAAAATAACCTGTCCCTGGGATCACTTATGACTCGTGCCAGTCTCAGAGCCAAGCCACAAATAGATGGCATTTGAGGGGCCTCCAGCAAAATGAAGGACATTTTCCTGGTGTAGGGCCTGCACTGGGGGCTGGCATTAGCTAAGATCACATCAGATTCCAACTAGAGACGACTGCCTTACGACTGCCTTATGACCAGCACAGCACAGGTCTCCCTTCCCAAGAAGATCTGTGCCTCCACCTCACCTACAACCCAGTGTCTCTAACACAACCTTGCAGACAATATTGCCAACCTAGATCTGACATCCAAGGCTCCTAAGTGTTGCTAAGCCTGCCAGTGAAACTAGAGGAAAATGGTGCATTCATTGCTCTTGTGAAGGGTTCCCCAGATTGGCATGGCTCCTTGGCCTCAAAAAAAGATTGATCAGGGTCAAGGGAACAAAGTCTAGTCGGTGGAAAGAAAAAAGGATATTTGGCCAGGCGGTGGGGGCGCACGCCTTTAATCCCAGCACTCGGGAGGCAGAGGCAAGCAGATCTCTGTGAGTTTGAGGCCAGCCTGGTCTACAAGAGCGAGTTCAGGACAGGCTCCAAAAGCTACAGAGAAACCCTGTGGGGGGGGGGGGAGAAGGATATTTGGTGGGTAGTGCTAAGACAGGATGGCCATTCTACCTCAAGAAGATATGGGCAAGCCAGGCAGTAGTGGCGCATGCCTTTAATCACAGCATTTGGGAGGCAGAGGCAGGTGGATCTTTGTGAGGGTTCAAGGCCAGCCTGGTCTACAGAGCGAGTTGCAGGACAGCCAAGGCTACACAGAGAAACCCTGTCTCAAAAAGAAAAAAAGAACAGGTGGAGCAACCAGCCTCTCCTTGCTAGGCCCCTGATCACCTTCTGTAAGCCTGTCCATCCCAAAACAGTCACTAGAAGACCCTTTTTTCTGAAGGGCATGAGACACAGAGAAGGTAACTTCTACATAGCTAACACATAACAGCAAAGCTAGCATCAAATTTGCAATTTGTTTTTTGAGACGGGGTTTCTATGTATAGCCTTGGCTGTCCTACAGCTAGCTCTGTAGACCAGGCTGGCCTCAAACTCACAGAGATTTGTCTGCCTCTGCCTCCCAAGTGCTGGGATTAAAGGCTTAAATTTGCAATTTTTTTATGTCAGCTTCCAAATCTTTAAGGTTACAAGCATGTGCTACTATTCCTGGATACCTCCTATCCTCTTAAAAAAAAAATATAGGGAGCTGGAGAGATGGCTCAGTGGTTAAAAGCATTCCCTTCCAAAGGTCCTGAGTTCAATTCCCAGCAACCACATGGTGGCTCACAACCATCTGTAATGAGGTCTGGTGCCCTCTTCTGGCCTTCAGGCATACACGCACAAAGAATATTGTATACATAATAAAATAACTAAATAAATATTTTTTTAAAAAAAATATATTGTTCGGGGGCTGGAGAGATGGCTCAGCAGTTAGAAGCACTGCCTGCTCTTCCAGAAGTCATGAGTTCAATTCCCAGCAACCACATAGTAGCTCAACCATCTGTAATGAGGTCTGGTGTCTTCTTCTGGCTTACATGCATACATACAGACAGAACACTGTATATATAATAAATAAATCTAAAAAAAAGTATTGTTCTAAACTGGGCATGGTGGCGCACACCTTTAATTCCAGCACTCTGGAGGCAGAAGCAGGCAGATCTCTGTGAGTTCAAGCTAGCCTGGTCTACAAAGTAAGTTCCAGGACAGCCTGAGCTGTCACACAGAGAAACTCTGTCTTGAAAATAAAATAATAATAATAATTATTATTATTATTATTATTATTATTAACATAGAATATTGCCCTAGATGAGGTTGTGCATATCAGCAATCCCACTAGGCAGATAGAAACACAAAGATCAGGAGTTCAAGGGCACCCTCAATTACGTACCAACTTCTAGGTTTACTTGGGCTACATAGGATCCTGTCTACAAAAAAGGGAAAGACTTCTTTTCCTGATTCAAAACTCATGGAAATATGTTTGCCTTGCTTTCCCCAGACACTTGGTATTGGTGGGTCACAGCACATGTTTTGTTCCCACCTGGGACTAGGACACCCAGCATCGTGTCCTGCAAAGATAGCAGTGTTACCTATAGTAGTTCAGGAGATGCACAGATCTGGGTGTGCCCAGAGAAATGGCAGTCAAGCGTTATGTGGACTTCCTGAGATAAGACAGCTCTGGAGTACAGGATCACTAAAAGGTGAGTGTGGATAGTAGGACTAGGATAGAAAAGGGTCTTAGTGTGGGGCCAAGAAAGCAGGGTTTGGGTAACAAGCTTCACTTGATTGGCTCAGCCTTCAGAAAAAGGCCATTCCCAACCTGGCCAGGAAAGGCTCCAAAACTGCAGCAAAACCCTGTCTCAGAAAAAAAAATAAAAGGGGGGGGGGAAGGAAAGAAAAAGCCCATTCTTCCACTCATGCCTAACTGCAAACCTTCTTGGTGAGAGGGTGGGAACAGATATTTGTCGAAGGGAAAGGTTCTCTAACCCATCTCATGCTAGGCAGGAAGATAACATGTTCACTACATAGCTATCCTGTAGATGCTGTAGCTATGTATAGTGACAGAAGCCCACTCAGTAGGCACAAGAGGTTAGTTGGCAAAAGGAAGAAGGGCCTTCAGGGTCTCTGTCCAGGAAGAAAAAAAGCTTCCTGCAGAAGACCAAACAGAAAAGGACAAAGCTTTGCCTGAAATGCCTCTGTGGGCCACAAGAGGGCACCAAAATTCTACTCTAAACAAGAGAGAAGGTTCCAGCGGGTCTGGGGTCCCTGGTACGTTTCCCATTCTTCCGAGACAGAATAGAGTAGGATAGGGGTTTCTCAGGAGTTTTCTAAAAGGCCTTTTATGAAGCTACACAGCTTCTTTCAAGACATTGACTAGAAGACAGGTCTCAAAAGTAAGGGCTGGGTTATTCGTTGCCAAGTTTTACAACCTGAGTTTGATTCCTGGGACACACGTGCACAAAGGGAAGAATCAACTCCTTCCTGCAAGTTGTTGTCTTCTTGCCTACACACACACACACACACACACACACACACACACACACACGCAAACACACACATGTGCGTGCACAAATAAAGAGATAAGCAAATAAATAAATGTGGTTTTGATTTTTTTTTTTAAGATTTATTTTTGTGTGCATGTTCCCACAGAGGCCAGAAGAGGTCACTGGCTCCTTAGAACCGGAGTCAAGGGCCTGCCCAAGTGGGTTCTGCTCAGGTCCTCTGGAAAACCACTGAGTCATTTCTCCAGTCTCTGCTTTTTTTTTTTGTTTTTTTTGTTTTGTTTTGTTTTGTTTTTTTTCGAGACAGGGTTTCTCTGTAGCTTTGGTGACTAGCTCTTGTAGACCAGGCTGGCCTCGAACTCCCAAAGATCCGCCTGTCTCTGCCTCCCAAGTGCTGGAATTAAAGGCGTGCACCACCACCGCCCGGCTCAGTCACTGCTTTTGTTGATGTTTTGGTTTCTATTGATTTTTTTGTTTTGTTTGTTTGTTTGCTTTCAGACAGGGTCACAATCCAACCTGTCCTTGCCATTTAGACCAGATTGGCCTTGAAACCAGAGATCCGCTCACTCTGCCCACAGAGTGCTAAGACTAAAAGTACCAGATTGACTTCAAGACCCTGTATAGGCAAGGACATTTGCCTTTCTTTTTAAAATAGGTTTATGTAAATGTGTTTAATCCCAGCACTCAGGAATCAGAGACAGGTGGATTTCTATGATTTTGAGGTCAGTTTGGTCTACACAGCCAGTTTTAGGCCAGCCAAGGCTATACATAATGAGATCCTGTATCAAAAAAATTTTTAATTAAGTTTTTAAAAATTACATTACATAATAAATTAAATAAAATAGTCTTACTAAGCTTAACACAGCATAAACTGCAAATGTTTAAAGTATACGCTACTAGATTTTTACACAGGTATTCAGCTAAGATGTCAATCTCCCAGACAGCCAATAGCCTGTCACCAGAGCTGATTTCTGCCCTGATGATTCTTCCCTCCCCTTAAGGCTCCATTGCCAATTTTCTGTCACTATGAAGTGGGTCACCTTGTCCAGAATTTTTTGTAAATGGAATCATACGTTGAG